TGTGTGTGGCCCTCCCGACCTCCATTTTTGCTGGGAGACACCACAGGGATTGCAGGAGGTGAGTAGGAAAGCCGTTGCGCACGCACAAAGTATGAATTTGGCATGCATGTGCAAAGCGCACCCATCAAGCCACGCCCACCAAACCACTGGTAAACATCTTTGAAACCCACCACTGGCTCCAGCCAATCTCTCAGATTTTGGGAGTCTCTTGAACATCCCTCATTAATAGAAGGATATCATTAATATCCTTATAGAACTGGGGTGGAAAGAAAATCATTTATTCAATACCAGGCAGCCTAATTATCTCAGAAGATTAGATTAAATCAATTTACTACTCAGCATTTTTATAGATTCTTTTCATTTATCATCTCTCTTCCTATTGAAAGTACAGTCCTTTGAAGAAGTGGCTGTATAAAATGATAATAAGCAAACAAATACATTAAAGCAAGCTATTTTGAGATTATTTTCCAGGTATTAATATTGTCAGTATATTATCACACCATAATATCCTTGATAGTTTTCTGAAAGGGTTTCTTATCTGTGTACTGTATATTAACAGACGTATCCTTTTTAGCTTTTTAGAATGGCTAAGGTCAGCCCAAATGTTCACATATTATTCACTTTATTGTGCCCTATTTAATTTTTGTAAGCTGCCCACAGACATGTTGTTTGGGTTGGGCAGCTATATAAATGCAGTGCATAAATAAATCCTGCTGTTTGGCTACAAGCTTGCAAATAAGTCACTTGAATTCAGAAAATAAATAATGCATTTTAATATAGTGAGATTGTAGAAAGAATAATATTTCCTGGCAGAGTGTCAGTTTTAATCCCTTGCATTCCGGTTGTTCTCCCCCCCCCCCCTTTATAATAAGATGAGGCAGCAAGTAAAAAGCATTTTCTTATCCTTTTTAAATAAGTGCATCTGTAAGTTGAATTAACATCAACTTATATTGCATTTCAGAATGGCTCACATCCATTTCCTGTCCTGAATAAATATTCACAGGAGATGATGTCCAGACAGAAAGTATTCTTAATAGCACTCAATATAACTCCATAATATCAGAATAGCCATCATCCAGCCATTTCATATCTGAACAGCTCATTCATAAACATTTGTAAAAGCTTTTTTAAAGATAAGTCTGGAGGCCAATTATTCTTAGGCCAAAGATTCGATCTGAATGCAAGGTTATAATACATGCAATTCTCGAGAAAGCTTCCGGAAATTTACAGGAGAAAATTAAGGTTTTACTACAAGAACAGATATCTACTGAAGGTGAAACAGTATGGAAGGGAATTTTATTCTAGCCCTCTGAATATTCCAGATCTGACTGCACGTGCCTTTAATAATTTTAATCTAGCTCTAATAAACCAATTAACTTTCAGGAAAAAAATGAAATAAATTTCTTGCTTATTCTATGGTACCGTAATGGTTCTACAAGATTCCTAAAATAGGCAGGTCTGTATATTTTGCCAGAATGTTGTATTGAACCTTTATCCAATTTTAACCTCTTCAGATGTTGTAGTTCAACAAATTAGGAGATGGTCTAATCAGGGAAGATTACAGCATAGCCAAAATTTGCCTTTTAAACACCCCCCCTCAAATGTCAATAAATATATCAAGCATCAACCCATGATACATCATTCCTGGTTGAAAATGGTTTTGATCTGCACAAGGTGAAAAACATAATTGTTGGCTCTCAAATAAACCTTAGAAAAATGTCATAGCTGTTTATAGAAAATTCTTTTCCTCTAAATACAGGCAAGATTTTAACAAGATATGACCCCATATGGACTTAATCTGTTGGACTACAGTTTATCTAGAGCAAGGGTCTTCAAACTTGGCAAGTTTAAGACTTGTGGACTTCAGCTCCCAGAATTCCTGAACTAACATGACTGGAGGAGGGATTCTGGGAATTGAAGTCCACAAGTCTTAAAGTTGTCAAGTTTGAAGATCCCTGGTCTAGAGTACATAGATCCCCTGAAGGAGGCAGGACATAATGACTTTGGCTGTTAAAAAGAAAACCCAGAGTCCTTAAGGATATAAGAACAGGTTGTGAGACTGAAAGAAGTTCTAGAAGAAGGCACTGACAGACTATTTCTGTTCAGAGTCATGGAGATGGACAACATGTGTACAGTATTGGAATCCCTCATTCATCTCAACCTTTCATTCTAATAAAAATATGTTTCTTACACATGCTTAGCTCCACAAATATCAAAATCATGACAGTTGCAAAAAGACCAAACATTGCTGCATTAAAATCTACAGGCAGCCCAACCTTCTACTAAGAATGAGATGCACGGTAGCGTGTATAGAAAATTAAGCTTCATCTATTAAGATCCGTATTCAAATGCTGACTTATCTGGTACTCACTGGATGATCATGGGCCACATAATTCTTGTAAGGGATAATAAATGGCAATAAAAGTTTAACAGATAATACAGACAGAACATCCTAATTAATTGAGTGAACTCAGTCTCAGATAAAGAGGATAGGGAACAGCTGCTCTAAGGATGTACATTCTTAAGTCTTCTCCTACTGAGAAGCCCTTGAACTTGGAAGGAGCTTCTTTTGATTGGATCATGGTGTACCATGAAGTAAATCGACCATTACACTGCCATGACCTTCTGCTGCAATGCACAGAGCCTCCTCCATCCAAAGGGCAACCAAGATTCTTCTAAAAAGTGGCACTTAAATTTTGATAAGTTGTTCTTCCAGATGATTATCACCTCACTCTCTGTTATTCTTTAAATCAGAGGTCTCCAAACTTGGCAATTTTAAGACTTGTGGACTTCAACTCCCAGAATTTTGGGAGTTGAAGTCCACAAGTCTTAAAGTTGCCAAGTTTGGGGACCCCTGCTTTAAATCAAGATCAGATATGTGGCTTTTTCCAGGTGTTTGAAGCTCAGATCTGGATCACTTTTGTGACTTTTTCAACATCTGATGTTAATTTTATACAAATCTGCTAAAGAAGGTGGGGATAATAATTTTAGCATGGTATATAATTAATTATTGATTGATTTATTGGCTTTATATCATGACTTTCTCTCAGAATAGCTATTACATTTAACACACACACACACACATACACACACATTTATTAACAACACACTTCTTCAGAATAGGAACCATTCAAGAGGGAGAAAACCTGGGCTTATTCACTGCTCTCAAATCGTTACCTTCTAATTTAGGTAATTTATGGATTTTATTCTGCCTTTGTTTTTCTGACAAGCTTCCTAAATGCTTCACCTAGAATATTTTATGGCCTCTCTATAAAGAGAGGAAGGAAACTGCCTGTGGGGTTACAAATAGCAGCAGGAAGGGCATTACTGCACCTCAAAAAGAATTATGTTGCTAATGACTCTTTAGACGGCTAAGCTCTCCAGAAATAACCCCTCTTTTGAAAAGCAGCCTTAGCCACTGAAGTCAGCATCCCACAGAAGTCTCGCTGAAAAAGATGCAAGCGTCTGCTAGAAAGGGCAAGATGCCAATCTGCAAGGCAAGGAGCCAAAGATATCGGAAACCAGCTGGAGTAGAGACAGGGAGAAAGAGGAGAGAATAACGAAGGAAGGATGGAATCTGCCAAGCATCCCGGAGAAGGAGAGAAGGATGGGGAAACCTGCACCAAGATCTGCTGCTAAGGAAAAGCTTAGAATTTACTTATGCATGAATGAGGCCTGCTTGGCCATCTTTTTCTGTTCTGCAAGAACCTTTTTGGAGGTCTTCTGGCTGCACCACAGATTTGAATAAACACAGCAAGATATTCAAGCAAGATATTCCTTCCTTTCTTCAGCTCCTTCCAAAGCAAAAACAGTACAAAGAGCCATACTTGCTCCCTGGCTTCCTCTGTGCTCTTCTTATAAATTGATGTTCTAGACTGAGACTTCCCTTTTTCTCTCTCATCTCTGTATCTCTTACCTCTGTCCATCCATAGTTAACTGGACCAGGCATATAATTCAGTGTTTTATTCAGCGCACTGAATAAAAGGGGGCTACTATTTACAAAGACAAAGGCATTATCCAGCTCATACCAAACTAAATACATTAGTCTAAAAAATCTTGGCTAGCTTGGGCGCTGATTGTCCTGGAATTTCATCCCTGAGGGCGCATACTTGTGGGTGAGGTACAGGGCTACCAAATCTGGGCTGCAAAAAGAGCTTCTGGCAACCAAGGAAGGCTAGTCAGGATTTTTGCAGTCCAAAGTAGCAGCGGCTCTTTCCACCCCCGCCCGCTCACCCACTAATACAGAGATGGGAGGGAAGTCTTTTTTTTTTCCCTGGCAGTGCAGGAAAGAAGAGCAGGTCCAAGAAAAAAGAGTTTGAGAGAAGACGAGGTTGGATTCACTGGGTCCAATTCATAACGGCCCTGCTGCCCCTGGGGAAGAGCCGAAGCAACTGGTGAGGGGTGTCCATTTGTGGGCAGCACAGCAGAGGTGAAGGCCAGAGGGGGGTGGGGTGGGATCCCAGCCTCTGAGGTTTTGCTGAGGATGGTTCCGAGCTTAGCCCATTTCACCAGAGGAAGAGCAGAGAGAAAGGAACCTCCGTGCATTCTTGCTTTGCAAAAGTCGGATTCTGGGAAAAGGAATCCAATCATCCCTAGCACGTTGCTGTATTTAATCAAATCTGCAACGCAGGCTCAGGAGTACAGAGCAATTCCCACCCCCATCTTCCCTCCCTTCATCAAGGGACGGCGACCTAGAGGATGCGGCCAATGCCCGTTGCTCGCCCTTCTTCCTTTGGCATCCGTCCCCATCGACGGGAGATCGAGACCGTTTGCGTTGCGCCACTTCGCTGGTCTGGGGAGGCTGGCTCCATGGGAGGGGGTGGGGGGGGCAGCAAGGGGAAAGGGGCATCCGAGGACGTGCGGTTCCAAGTCTCCCCCCCCTCCCCCCCCCCTCAATTCCCCCCCCCCCCCCCCAAAAAAAAGGGAGCACCCCCCCGGGTTTGGGCCCCCCCCCCCCCCCCCCCGCCCGCCGTTCGATTCCAGCCCCCGCCGACCCTTACCAAGTACCAGATTCCCAGGATGATGGTCCCAGTGCGGACGTGACAGCACAAGCAGCAGCTGTTGGAGTAGAACCGAGTCCAAGGCGAACCCAGCAGCTTCATCGCGTCTTTCCGAACTGCCTCCCGGGCCCTGTCGGAGCGACTCCCAAGCGCCAGGTTGCTTCCTAAGGACGCCGGAGGGAGAGAGAGGGAAGAGCCGCTCGGAGCCCGGAGGAAATCGGCGAGGATGCAACCAGCAGCGCCTTCTATCAAGCTGGCCAGGCGGGTGGGGGGGGGAGGTGGGGAACCCTCTGTTCCATGACGTCATCGGGCTTCCAGCCTGCCCAAAGAGGAGGGGCGGAGCTTTGGATCCCCAAGGCTGGCTCAGCCGAAAGGCCGGCAAGCGCTCCCCCCAAGGCCGGAAGGATGCATGGGCCGCGGGGGTCAGGCGGCGCCAGGGGGACATCTAGGGCAGGGGCGGAGCTCTCCAGAAAGGCTGCGAGTCTCTCGGCCTGGCAAGCAGGGGATGAATGGTGCGGTTTCTAAGGCGGCTATTCTCCAAAGCGCCAGAAGGCAGGGCAAGAAACAACGGTGGTGTGAGAAGTGAACCAATGTAACTCCATTTTAGATAAGCTCTCCATTTTGCATCTTGTACTTTTCCACTGTGTGTGTGTGTGTGTGTGTGTGTGTGTGTGTGTGTGTGTGTGTGTGTGTGTGTGTGTTTCAAAAAGCAACCTCAGCGGTTTTTCGGAGAAACAAAGAACAAGGAGGTGGTTATTGCTTAGCTAGTATACCTGCAAAGTTCCAGATAGATAAGCAACAGAATGTTCCTATTGCTGATACATTGTATCTCGCTTCTTCGCTTCTTTGTGTTGGGAGTATAAGAATGTGTGTTTAACTTAACTCTGTGTTCCATCCCGCTGCCTTGGATGTGAACCCGTTTTCTGCAGAAATCGTAACAATAAACTGCTTTGCCTTGAAGAAGTTCTGTGTCGTGTCAGCGTTTTGTGCGAGCACAATATCACAGTGGGAAACTGATCAAAGAGAGAAGAGACCTGGAATTCAGCCGAAACCTCCTAACAGGGAGGACAATTAACCAGAGGAACAGAAATTGCCTCCAGAAATCCTGAGCACTCCATCACTGGAGGTTTTTAAGAAGAGACGGGACGGTCACTTGTCTGAGATTGTATAAGTTCTCCTGCTTGAGTATGGGGGTTGGTCTAGACCAGAGTCTCTTAACTTGGCAACTTTAAGACTTGTGGGAGTTGAAGTCCACAAGTCTTAAAGTTGCCCAGTTTGGAGATAGATAACAGATAATCCGAGTTGAAAGGTACCTTGTAGGTCATCTAATCCAACCCCCCACCGCCCAAGCAGGAGACCCTACACCATTTCTGACAAATGGTAGTCCAATCTCTGAAGGTGTCCAGTGATGGCGCACCCACAACTTCCGAGGGCAAGCTGTTTCATTGGTTGATTGTTCTCACTGTCAGAAAGTTTCTCCTTATTTCCAGGTTAAAACTCTCTTTGTTCAGTTTCTATTCATTATTTCTGGCCTACAGGTGCTTTAGAAAATAGCTTGACCCCTTCCTCCCTGTGGCAGCCCCTCAAATATTGGAAGACCGCTATCCTGTCTCCCCTGGTCCTTCTCTTCACTAGACTAGCCAAGCCCAGTTCCTGCAACCGTTCATTGTATGTTTTAGCCTCCAGTCCCCTAATCATCCTGGTTGCTCTTCTCTGTACTTTTTCTAGAGTCTCAACATCTTTTTTGTAATGTGGTGAACAAAACTGGATGCAGTACTCTAGGTGTGGTCTTACTAAGGCTTTATAGAGTGGTATTAGTACCCCCCTTGATCTTGATCCCTCTGTTATTGCAATTTAGGATTGGATTAGCTTTTTTGGCTGCTGCTGCACACTGCTGGCTCATATTTAGCTGGTTGTCCACTAAGACTCCAAGATTTTTCTCACAGTTACTCCTCTAGACCACAGTTACTCCTACTAGACCTCTGGTCTAGTCGATTTCCTAGGTCCCTTCCAGATTCTATTCTATTCTTTCTATTTCTATTCCAGTTTTTTAACATCAGGATAAGCCTCCATCATCTGTACAAGTTTAGTGACAGTTCGAAGTTACAGCAACACCGAAAAAAGTGATGACTATTTTTCACACGCATGACTGTGGCAGCGTCCACATAGTCACATGATCAAAATTCAGATGCTTGACAACTGGTTCATATTCATGGTGGTTGCAGGGTCCCTGGGTCATGTGATCACCTTCTGCGACCTTATGACAAGCAAAGTCAATGGGGAAGCCAGAATCACTTAACAAACAGGTTACTGACTTAACAATTGCAGTGATTTACTTAACAATGGTGGTGGGAAAAGTCATAAAATGGGGCAAAACTCATGTAACGAATGTCCCACTTAATAACTGAAATTTTGGGCTCATCTGTGGTCATAAGTCAAGAACTACCTTTACTTCGCTAATCCTTATTCCTAGGATTCATCTCTTTTTTTTTCAACCCCACAATTAAAATCAACTTCATGGTGTTGGGTTATCAGAAGACAAAATAACTACAGATCAGTGGGTCATGTTTTAGCCCAGTGTTTTGTGTGAATTCTTCTACCTGTCTGCTTAAAAGTTGGGCTATTATTCATTATTGTAAACAGAAGTCTGCCCTTGTTGAAATGTGCTAGATTTATTCCTTTTTGTTGTACATGTAGCTTCCTTGGCAAAGAACAGATTCAAAGATTCAGTGCACGATTACATAAGTGAGTTATGGCTATTCTTGAATAGAGCCCAGATTAGCCCCTTCTCTGCTTCTTCTGGATGTAGAAACGATTGGACCCTTGCTTCATTTTCAAAGAGGCTCTCTCTTTCCTAACAAGACATAAAGGACGCCCCCCTGAGTATTTTGATCTCTGAACAGAGGCTGGGAAAATTATTGATTGTATCTTAATCTCAAAGTCTGGAATTTCCAAGAACCTGAGGGTAAGTCCAGTTGAATGGGACACAACAGGGGGCTTTGCTTAGGAAAGTGGCCATTTCTGTAAAAACAGGTAAGCTATCTAGACAAGAATTTGTGCTGAGATTTTTATTTCTATTTGCTATCTTGTCTTGCATGAAATTTTGTCTTTGGACACATTGTAGAATTGCTTATTTAAACTTCAGTCTTTATTTTATTATCTTGAAGGGAAACGATCAATTTGCTTAGTTAAAGTACTAAACCCCATATTTTGTGTGGCATCCAATTTAATTATTGGAGCAATTGCCCCCATCCTTTTCTCTTTCCAAGTTCCTGAAGATGTTTCATTGTATGAATACATCAAAATACTGGCAATATAAGTTCAAACGTAATACTTAGCTTTTCCCAACCTAGTTTCATCCCGATGGGTTTACATTGTATATCTCCCATCATCTTTTATGAAGAACTGTATAGCTAATCTTCGGCTTACCATCATTTGTTTAGAGGCTCTTTCAGAGTTACAATGGCACTGAAAAAAATGACTGGTCCTCTCACAATGGTTGCAGCATCCTCTCAGTCACCTGATCAAAATTCAGGCACTTGGCAACTGGCATATTTTTGATGGTTGCAGTCTTCCGGGGTCATGTGATCACCACTTGCAGCTTTCCCAGCTGGTTTCCAACAAGCAAAGTCAGTGGAGGAAGTCTAATTCATTTAATGACCCCACGATTGACTTTAACAACTGTAAAGATTTGCCTAACCACTGTGGCAAAAAGGTTATAAAATCAGGCATGATTCACTTAACAACTGCCTTGCCAAAACTTTGATCCCAATTGTGGTCATAAGTTTGACACTACATAAGTTTGTAGTCTATACTCCGATAGCCAACTAGTTGGGGAATAAAACTGCATTGAACCATACTAGAGGGATAGGATCAAGATCACGTGAAGTGTTAATACCACTTAATAATGCCTTGGGAAGGCCACACTTGGAATACTGCATCCAGTTTTGGTTGCCATGACGTAAAAAAGATGTTCAGACTCTAGAAAGAGTGCAGAGAAGAGCAACAAAGGTGATTAGGGGACTGGAGGCTAAAACATACTATATAAAGAACAGCTGCTGGAATTGGGTATGTCTGATGAAAAGAAGGACTAGGGGTACCAATGTTCCAATATCTCAGGGGCTGCCACAAAGAAGAGGGGAAACCAAAGGACCAGAAGGCAGAACAAGAAGCAATGGGTGGAAACTACTCAAGGAGAAAAGCAACCTAGAACTAAGAAGATCATACTAGATCAGCTGCTCTAATCTGAAATGTAACACCCAAATGCATATTAACACATCTTGATTTAGGGGAAAACAATAGTATTTTCCATGTGAAATGAAGGAAATAAATATTAAGTTGCTCTTTGAGAGGGCTGTAAAGCACTATAAAGAGGTATATAAGTCTAAGTGCTATTGCTATTAAGTGTATTATTAAAGCTATAATGTCCTTATTGCTGAATATTAACCTCAAAGTATGTTCAGCTAAACAGTACATGATACTAGCTGCAGGCTTTTTAGAAAACAGGAACATCCACCCTAGGCAAGGCCACAGGCAATAACACAGGCAAATAAGATAGGAACATCCGCCCAAAGCAAAGCTACCAGTAAACTAGATAAGATATCCAGTGCCTAGAAAGAAACTGTCAAGTTGATCCTTTACCTTATAGTATGACTTAAAGATAATAAGGGGAGTGGGGAGGGTTTCTTAGGCGTGGCGTGTATTGTGTAGAGCAGAGGTCGCCAACTGGTGGTCTGGACCACTGGGGGTCCATGAGAAAATTTTGGTAGTCCGCAGCGCACCCGTGTCTGCAACAAGGGTGATACTGGCAGTGGATGGACTGATGTGCGTGGGGAGGGAGGGTAGCGTGCAGGTGAACTGGGTGTTCCCTGGCCTGTGAGGGGGCGGGGGGAAAAGAACCTCTGAATCGGTGTTGCCTCCTGTCTCCCCCTCTGGCAGCCGCCAAGCCTCCTCCTTCTTGCTGGGTGTGTGAGCGCTTCTGGCAAGGAGGAAGCACAGTGGGAGAAGGCTTGGCGGCTGCCAGAGGGACGGTGAGTACTTTGTGGCTCCTGAGGGGAGGGGTCGAGCCTTCCCCTCGCAACATCTTCACTTGACGGCATCAGTGGCAGCCGCTCGGCCTCCTCAATGAGCGGAGGCAGGACACACCACCAGTTCAGGGGTCCCTTCCCTCCCCACTCGCAGGCCAGGGAACACCCAGGAAAGGGTCCGATGCCGTGATCTCCTGCGTGCATCAGTCCATCTGCCTCCAGTATTACCCGTTGCCCCACCTCCCCACCAGCCATGTGGTCTTCATTCTCACCACCCAGCACCACTTCAGAGGTTCCTTTCCCCCCACCCCCACCCCCAGGGGCAGAGAGAGGGGGGAGGGAAAGAGAGAGAGAGAGAGAGAGAGGAGAGATCCCGGTGGTTTGTTTTCTGTGGGAAATGGGTCCAAATGACTCTGAGTATTTAAAGTTGCAGAAACAGGCAGCCAAGTTAAGTGCCTGAAGGACCCCATCCCGTCAGTGGGAATCCAGGCATTTCAGCGAGCGGCGCGCTGGATTTGTATTAGTGGTCCGTGGAATTTAAAATTAAGAGTTTGGTGGTCCCGGAGGTTCAAAAGGTTGACGACCACTGGTGTAAAGTTTATAAAATGTATTGCTTGACTAATGGATCTTGCTCTTCTTGTACCCAATCCACTCAGCAAGGGACTTGAAGGCTGCCTTTGCAAACACTTATTTTTAATAAACCTTTGAATTGTGAATCAGACTTGTCTCCATATTGTGAGGATTAAATAATTTGTGTCACTCATCTCACAGAAACAATCAACTCCACAAATGTAACTGTTTCTGTCAGGTGTCTATGATATGAAATAATTTAGCTTTATTCCCATCCATGATTTTGTTTTTATATGAAGCAAGCTCATTGAGAGCCTTGTATAGCAAACATCAAATAATCTTAGTGATCTTTCTGAGCAATATCTCATACATTCATGCAAAGACAATTAATTGGTAGTCAGCTAAAACATGTCAGATAAAAAAAATGACATAGTAGTATTTCCTTATAATATTCACAATAGTACAGAATATAAGACATTATTTCAGTTATGGAGCCCCACAGACTATGTCTACTATTTTCCTTGGGAGAATGCTCAGTGAAATGCATTAAAACATGCTAATGACACTATTCTAAAAATAATTAGCACTTGGAACTGATTTAAGCACATATCTGGTCTTTTCTGCTAAATCTCTGCATCTGAACAGATTCTTATATCCTAATTTAATCAGATTGATTATGTGTACCAAATATTCTTTATTTGAGCTCCATTTTAGCATGGTATTAAGTCACTACGCTTATAGCATCTAAAAAGCTATATTGGGGGCATTTTTTTCTCCAATGTCTCCCAAAATTTATTTATTTATTGCAGTTATTTATATGTTGACACTCTCATGGCTCTGGATGGTTTATGGCACAAATAAGTATACAGTATAAAACTGCAAACAGTGAATTTTAACAACAGCTGAGATCACTACTATCCTGCAAAGTGTACATGAAATAATTTTTGACAGCTTTGTTGGAAGACCAACAAAGGGGGTTGGGTGGGTCACGAGTACTTTTGGGAACAAAACAATCCTAAATTTCAGGGCTATGATAGAGAATTTTAACTGTGGGTATGGAAGAATCATTTTGAAGGTGACAGCCCCTAAAACAACTTGATATTATGCTGTATTTATAGGTAATAACCAGCGTTTTGAACTGGGCTCAGACATGTATACATAACTAGTGCAAGTACTGAAGCATAAATTATACTGTGCAATAGGATAACAGGTCTCATCTCTGCAGTTTGTATAAATTGTGGCATCTGAGTCATCTTCATAAACAGTCCCAGGTAGTGTGTGTTGCAGTACTGTAATTGTAAAATAATGAAGGCATGAGTCATTGTTGCCAGGACAACTGTCCAGGAATATTTATAACTGATCTAAAGCTAAAAACGGGAAAAAGCTCTCTTCACTATGATCTCCTCCTCTTCCTCTAGCAGGAAGGCATAGAATCTTAAGCCAATAGGAATGACATTATTTGTAAATACTCACGCAAACCTGTCACAACTGTCTGAAGATATAGAAATGTATTTGATTGTCTGAAGATATATTCTTCCACCCTTCCTTCCCTAACAGGATCCAAGTAATTCTGAACAGGGTACCTGGATGGAAACTGACAGATGCAATAAGAGCAAATTCACATTGCTTTTATTGCCAGTCTAAGTCTGAACTTGGGCTTGGTTACATTCATTTATGCACATGTAAACACTGCTTGATCAGCCCAGTCAAATATGATCTTAGTTTACACTGCTCATTTCAGAAACAGAATTCAGACGTTTTATCTGCCAGATTCATGTGGATGCAAAGAGATACTTTTTTGAATCATATTAAATTGAACAATATCCAATTGATTTTTAAATGGGCCAACATTAGAAAATAATTCCGTCTACGTTAAATCTTAAATTTCCTTGAGGCCATTGAATGATATTTTCATCATTCTGAAACTATCACAAAGGCTTGATCTCAACAGAAACTTACAAATCATCTAAACAAGTTGAAATAAGAAATTGGGTACAGAATTTGGCAAATTGAGAATCTGTTTTCATATAGTAAGTCAAAAACCTCAGTAAGATTATCAAAAATTGGAATGAATGCCAATTGTTTGTACCCTGAAGAGATCCTGTCCTATGACTAGAATACTCCAAATTGGTAAAAAGAACAGCATTCTTTAAAAAGAAGTATGCAATAGCATATACTGCACAACTAAATAATTTTACTTGTTATTGGCATTTCTTCTGTTTTGTTTAACATATTTCAAACCCTGCATTTGCATAATATATATCTTGAAACTACTGGCACTTCAGTTCTGTGTTTTTGCCGTGAGAATATTATCTTCTCCTTATGCAGCAAGAACACAATTTAAATCCTAAGTGCGGGCCATAGTTTTGTTCAAATTATTAAGGACTAGTATCAGGAGTGGGATTCAACCGGTGTTACTGTTTTTCTGACGTAATCAGAAAAAGGACATTTTCCAGTTCCAATGGACTGCAGAGACAGATCACTTATAAGTTTTAGTTTCATTAGGTATCATGCATATTGACTTCGGCACAGGAATAGAATTCATGGCAAAGCAATGCTATATGCATTGAAAAGTCCTGTTTACAAAAATGATTCCACAATGACTAAGAATAAATGAATTTTGCAAACTCCTACTTTTTAATGAGCAACTATCCAGTCCCAAAACAGAACTGGTCTTAGCCAAATGGCTAATTTTGCTATTGTTATGAATATCAGTTTGAAAGAATGATAGCATGATTTATGGAAAGCGTAAGCATTTCTTTTCAGTGTCAAAAACTGTTCTTAAAATGGGATAACATGCAGCCTTTTACAAAAAGATATCTGGTCAAGTGAAGAATGTCTTAACTGGGAAATCTGATTTTGTAACATACTTAAGATACATATGAAGAATTTTAAATCACAATAAAGAGCAGACAAAACTAGGATATTCAATACCTTTTTAAAAGTACTGTATTTGTTGTACAGTCTGTTTGGCTACTAAGAATTTTCAGGGGTATCATTTTATTGTGATAAAATATTATCCACAAGCTCCCTTCCCATAAATAACACAATGCTATCAATTTGCTCAATTTATTTTAACAAAATTGATGTAGAAATGTCACTGAATTAAACAAACATCTGAACATGTAAACACCTGCCATGTTCCTGAAACAGGAGTTAATACCTGTGCACATTAGAATTCATTAGGAACACTATCAATTTATAAGGCTTGTCTTCAAAACAACTAAATCCAGTTTGTTGCTTTAATTGTTCTTGCATTGCAAGTTAATTTTATGAAAATTTTCAAATGTACACAATTAGACATGATGGGAGAATTAATAGTACCATTGGTTACAGCTGTTACAAGTTTTCTGCCACATAAAAAAAAAACTAAGCCAATCACATCAAATAATCATGGCTTTTCTTTAATAGTTGTTCACCAAGTTATGTTAATTATGGTCCTTTAAACACACACAAACATTTCATAAAGGCTATATACAGTTGTACATGGCTGAGCATGCACTATTCATAGATACCTGCCTGTTTAACGTGATGTCATTATAGTGCTGGAAAATGATGCAATTCAACTCCCATTTTAATCAGTAATTACAAGTGGAAAGATGGTTTGTCTCCCATTTTAATCAATAATTACAAGTGGAAAGATGGTTTGTTTTACAATTGCTGTTGTTGCATGATTTTTTTTAAAAAAATACAAAACAAAAAACAAAACGCTAACCCCATTTAAGAACTCTAGATAGATTCTACATAGATTAAGGCAGTAAAAAAGCACTTCCTGATACAGGTGGTCTCAACATCAATTAAATCTGTTTTGAAGCCAACATTACTCTTTTCATTCTCTACCACATCTCTGAAGAATTAAAAAAAATCCAATTAAAAGAAAGAAACAAAGCAATATAGTGGCAGAGAAATGAATCATGGCTTTCAAAATGACTGGGTACGAAGGTTATAGGGCACCAACTAATTTCCTACTTTAGATAAGAAAAAAATGAGGCTCACTTGAACATACTGTCTCAACAACTTAAAATTATCTAAGCACTTAACTATTAGAAGCAACTTTAGGAACCATGTTGTAGTTCTAATAAAGTATGTGAGTTTCTTGATACAGAATTTTTTGAAGTTTAATTTAATCCACTTTTTTGCTGAAAAATGTTTTTATTGATTAATTCTAACACAATCTGAGTGCACACTTACTCTGAAGTCAATTATTATTCAGGCTGAGGGGTTATTCAAGAATAAGGTCTTCAGTGATACCAGCTTCTCTGTAATTATAATTAATTTCATGGTTAGCAGATTCTATTAAATATTAGAAATATATGGCAAATTTGAATAGCGTTCTTTGATTTAGGCATTAAACAGATTCAAAATAGACATGACCGTTCAGTGACATGTATCAGTTTTAAAGATGATTAGAGATATTTAAGACAAATCCTCTTTCTCCAGTGGACAGGAAATAGAAATATGTTGTAAACAGGGCACTGTTTTAAAGCCAAGGTTTAAAAAATTACTTTTTCCATAGCTTGAAAATACATTCTTCAATGAGTCTTCCAGTAATGCCATTATTTCCTGTGAAATTAGGTCACCAACTTTTTCATTCAGTTCCTATTCTTAAAGATGGTTGTGTTCAAAGCAGTTTTTTTTAAAAAAATCTGTTGAAAGTTATATAAAATTCTGTACAGGTTCACAAATTATTGCATAAACAGCATAATCTCCACGACAAGTGTTTCTGCAACACACGTCCATTTCAGAAAATTCACGTTTCCCTTCTGGCTTTTTTCTTCTTTTTGATTTGCTTGGGGGATTCCCAGCTCTCTTCAGACTTGGCTAAAAGTGTAAGAGAAATCAAGAAGTGTTTTTTATTGTATTTTATTATACTCATTCATACATTGCATTCTACTGACTTAAGCTAGTAAAGCGTATTATTGGAAGTCAGCATTATTTTGTCCTTATGGCTATAAAACTTCCTTACGTTTTTAAATAATACAATTTTATATTGTATTACTTAATAATATACTTTTACAACATGGATACAATTTCCATTTAGAAGTTATTCAACATAAGTTGCCAACACACTATAAAATACCAGAAAATATTGGACACCTGTAAGCAGGGCACTAAATTTGCACCTGAAGTAAGATCTATTTGATTTTAAATACCATTGTAATAGCTACTGTATGTAAATATATTTTTATAAGCCTTATATGCATTTGATATAAACAATCACTTACTTTGAGGTGGAGGCACACTGTTTTGCTTAACATTAGAAATAACTTCTGCCTCCTGCAGCATCTGTGGCACTTGGGAAATTATCTTTTCAGAGTCACTCTCTGATACAGGTGCAGACAGTTCAGTAGAAACAGCAAATGAGGGCATCTCCTTCGGCTACAATAGACATTGTAGTTCAGAATACTGAGTTTTTGACATCATCTAATATCCAATCCAAAAATATGTGGATAGAATATCTTTTGAAATGTTTGATTAATCATACAGAACACCAAGACCCATTCCTGTCACCAAGCAAAAGCCCCACATGTGTCAAACTAGAACCTTATAAAACAGAAAAGCTCTATGCACCAAGTTGTAACTCTCTCTTATAAGTAATGCCTTCTGAGATTTTCAACAGAAATATTTATAGAACTAATCTGCTTTTCAGATGCTGTTGTGATTGGAGCCATTTCTAGGTCTTATTAGATGGAAACTCCCATTAAATAGAATCAAGGATTATTTACCAGGCATTATGGTGACTGTAGTACCTCTACTTTCACCTGCTAACTATTACGTACAACAGTGCTATTGCTGGGTGAATGCCGGGAGAGAATAATTTCTTCTCACTGGTTCTTTTTAGTGATATAGTCTTTAGTTAGCAAAATATCACAACTGTTTCCGTGAATCTAACTAAATGCCTATCCAAATGCCGAAAACATCAATTTTAACATATTTAACAGTGTGCCTGTTTCAAGGTATTAGTGCAACAGGCTTACACTAAATTTGCAACTTAGTTTAAAAAAGGAAGAATTTCCAAATAGATATTAGTATGCCCTTTTAATTTATACCTCAGCTTGTTCACTAGTGCTGACGGTCTTTAAAGAGAAAGTTATCTCCACTTGTTGAACTTTTGAGGTATCTTCTGGAAATTCTTCTCCAGCATGTCTCTCCAGATTATCAGAATCCTAGATGGGGAAGAAAGATGACTTAATTAAAAAGAACGAGGTTTGGAGGCATTACTTAAATAACCCGAATCAATGAATGAATGTGGAACCTAGTAAAAAGCTATGATACAACATTTCCATGCAATGTTAAAATAGAAACCTTTTTCAAATGATATAGTCACATTCATATTTTCACTCCAATTAGCTTCAAAGATAAATCATGTGAATATGAAGCAAAGGAGAAAAGCTCTATTTTTGTCCAGAATAGACCTAATGGGATATACTCCATAAGCAGGCAATATACTTTTCTTTTTAAGAAGGGCATGACAATGAGTGGACAGAATCAGTATTCACTATTTTGTCAAAAGACTCTTTCATAATTTAGGCTTGACTTAAGCTGACAGTATAATTTTCACATATTTCCTATCTCAGAACCGAATCAAAGTTAAACAATGTCAGATTAAGAATAAGAACAAGTTTTGAGGATGCCCATCCCAAATTATTCAAAGCATGACTGTGCAAACTCAGTTTGTAATAAATCCATTTAAAAGAAGAAAAAAAAACCTATATAAGTTTTACATAGATATTAAGCATATTGTGGCTTCATGTGAACTATAAGGAACACAGATACAATCCAATTAAGGTTTAATCCACGCAGGGCACATTCTCAAACGGCCTTCAAAAGGCTAGTATTTATTGTTTCTTGCCTGTATAGGAGAGTTAGCCTCTTCTCCCTGCTTTTTCTTTTTCTTCTTTTTCTTTTTTGATTTGCCACTTGCAGTATTTTGTTGAGCTGCTTCAGGCTTTTCTTTCTCTTCATCTGATGCCTAATAAAAAACCAGAGAGATCCATCAATAGTTTTAGTTTCAACCTTTCTCCAATTATAATTTAACAATAAATTACAACATGCATGTGAGTGTCATGATGCAAACCCCACTCTTACACACTTATATACACAAGTCATGTTGTTTGGTGACATGCCTTATAGGGCCAATTGTCCCTCTGGCCAATCCTATGGATACCTTTGGGTGTTTTAGTTCTTTCTACAAAGTGAGAACTATCAAACTCAAACGGGACACGTCTTACTAATAATTCCTGCAGCAGCTATCAATATGATACCTTTTGAGTTTCAGATAATGCTTCTTCAAGTTGTGGAATGGAAGGAGGGTTTTCTTCTTCAACCCAGTTCCCCCATTCCTCTGCTGGGGCATTCCAGTCAGAAGTTGGATCGGCAGAAGAAAGCCCATCTGTGAGAAATAACGTTTCAAGTGGATGAACAAGACAGTAAGGTAAGAAAACCTATTTTGCAATACACGTATAATTTCATGCCATATATTTTCATAACAAAAGCCTGGGAGTAAAAATTTAAAATATTCCTTCTCAAAATAAAATTAAAAAGTGTTACTTGATCATTAAAGTATTAAGTACAATGATAAAGCAACTCGATTCTCTGATCTTGCCCTGATGATAAAAGCAACCTTCTAACAGAGACAAATAGAACATCCTTAAATTCAAAATAGAATGACAAAAATAAAGGATAATAGATCAGTACTTCAGAGAAATTTAAAAGTAGAACATGGTTGAATAAACAATTTAGAAAAAATCATGTAGATGTTGCATTGATAAAGAAAAAATACATTAATTTTTTTTTGTTTATCTCTTAGATTAAATTTGCTTGTATGAACTTTTCAAGCACTAATGATTGATCAAAGAATCTAGGCTTGTTTTTTGCAAAACTATTTTGAAAACATATGGATAAATATTTGGTGTTGTTTACCAGAACAAGTGTGAATAGGAATATGAATGCAAAAAAGTGAATGCAAATTAATCAAAATCAGGGAAGATTCTAAAAAGGAACATACTTAATCCAGACCACTCGTCATCAACAGGTGCCTGGTTACGATTTAAATCCCACTGAAAATCTGTAGTACTAGGTTGAGAAACAGATTCGCTATTGGATCCTAAAAAGGGCAGAATACATACCCAGTCACTCCATGAGAATGATATGTAGGCTCATTATTCCACATTAACTTTTATCAGATAGAGGTAGTCCTCAAATCCTTCCTTCCTTTTTCAAAGTTACAGAGCACTTAATGAACTGTAGGTACATCTAGCCCTTGAAATTAGCCACTGCGACACCCCAAAAGCATGTGATCAGAGTTTGGGCACTTCACAGTCCATCTGGATTTAAATATCAGCACTTCAACCTTCCTCCCATGCTTATTTCCTTTGTGCCCTTTGGCTGACCTGCCCAGCGGCACTCCTCAGCAGTGGCGCTTGGGCTGGAGTAGAGGCCTGGGGCCTTCAGCAGTCTCAGCTGATCACCACTATGCTTCTACTTCAGCCCCACAGAGTATCACTTCAAGCCCACACCACAGCCATCCACTGCAGATCTACAGAATAAAGCCCAAACTACCCTAAATAATCTATTCTCTGCCACCCTGCTACCCTTGCATCCTGCACTCACTGGCCCTGACACTCCCAGATGACCTCTATCTTCCTCCTGCTGAGGTCTGCTCAGCTTAGCCCTATGTGAAACAGCTGTTCCTGTGCTGCTTTGGAAGGTTTCTGAGGCTTTCTAAAATTTTGCAAGAAGGCTGCACTTGCCATTCTCCAAACCGTGGCGAAGGGTAGCAAGGGTGACAGGGCAAACACAGTGCAGGGTGATGAGGCAGGCAGGCCCAACATGGCCAGGAACGACAAGGCGGCCAAATGGGCAGGGATAGTGGGGAAGCTGGTGATGTGGAACTGAAGAGAAGGCAGTCTCTTATCATACATACCAGGAGTGGCTTGGATTAGAGTGGGAGCTTGCCTAAAAAACAGTGAGATTCGGCTGACAATGGCAACAGTGATATTGGGACTGTTGTCGCTAAGTGATGTGCTCATGTGACATCATGTTTTACAACTGCACCGCTTAGTAACAAAACTTCCAGTCCTAATTTCCATAATAACCTAAGGATTACCTTTATATGGGATACATGCATCAGATTTACTTCTTTGTTGTCATTAGAATAGAATAGGATAACAGAGTTGGAAGGAACCTTGGAAGTCTTCAAGTCCAACCCCCTGCCTAGGCAGGAAACCCTATGCCAGTGTTGGCAAACCTTTTCGGCACTGAGTGCCGAAATGGGAGCATGTGCGTGCTTGCGGGGGAGTGCCAGAAACCAGAAGAGCACCTCCCTGTCACATGTGTGGAAGCACTGGAAATCGGAAGAGCAGCTCCTTGGTGTGCATGTCTCCCCAGCTGATCTTCACGTGTGCATGTGTGACAGAAACCGGAAGACCAGCTGGCCAGCGCGCATCCCAGCAAATGCATGCGTGCCGGGGAGCTGCTCTTCCGGTTTCCAGTGCTCCCACATGCGTGAGGACGAGCTGGGCAGCGCTCATGTGTGCACTGAAATCTGGAAGGCCAACAGGCGACAGCTGGTGTGCCCAGGGAGATAGCTCTGAGTGCTACTTCCGGCACGTGTGCCATAGATTTGCCATCATGGCCCTTATACCATTTCAGACAAATGGTTGTCCTATCTGTTCTTCAAAAGTTCCAGTGTTGGAACATTCACAACTTCTGGAAGCAAGTTGTTCCACTGATTAATTGTTGTCAGGAAATTTCTCCTTAGTTCTAGGTTGCTTCTCTCCTTGATTAGTTTAACATGGACACTAATGATTCAGCTTCACTGATCTAGGCAACACATTATTTTCATAAAAAGAACAAGCACAGTCCTTCTCTTTTCCAAATATTGAAAAAGTATTGAGTTGAATTTGGTGAGGCAATAATACTTGAAATTCAGGATTTTACCAGAATAGAACATGCTATGCCATAAATAGGACACACGTGTAGTTCATTTATAACAGGGCTGTCAAACTCCCGCCCCACAGGCTGGATGCGTCACACACTGGCCACACCCACACCCAGTTTAGGAATGGGCGGGGGGGGAAGTCCCAATATATCATGTGAAGCTGCTGTGATGACGTGAGTTTGATACCCCTGATTTATAAGATGCCAGTTAAAAGCATACCATACCAGAGACTGTAGGATTTAGTCCCAAGGGAGTAAATGAAGCAGAAGTTTGTTCAGGAGTATTAATTCTTCCATCCACTCCAGACCAAGCTGTTAACAACAACAAAAACAGTATGTGTGTGTGCTCATTTCATATATTTTCCCATACTGACAATTAGGAATATTCCTAAGGAGATTCCACAAATCAAAATAAATCGGCATACCTCTGCACCTGCATAAAATTTCATTCCCCTTTTAAAGAATATAATATCCATATATTAGGCATGTGTAAAATCCCACTATAGTTTAGTAGATATTCTGCTTTAACTGACAACCTGCCCTTCTAGACTGATGTTATTGTGCTTTAAAAAGGGATTAAAGAAAAAAAATCCAGGATCAGGAAATTAAGGAAACTTTCCCATGTTTTCTAAGTTTTAATTTTAGTCCTTTCCCAGAACCAAAACCAAACCAAACCAGCCAGGAGAAACAAGCACTTAATCTTACCTATACCAGGGAATAAAGTACGTTCGCCCCAGGTTCTGCCAACCAGGGATACTCCCCAATCCTTCCCATTTCCATTATCTCCAGCATCTTTTCCCCAGGCTGATGTCTCAGTTTTCCTCTTGCTACCTGCAGAGGATCCTGCAGTCCATTTCTCCTCACTTGCGCCAATCTGAGGAGAAATCTTAACAGGTTTTTCATTCCAGTTGCCTCCGTTTACTGTGGGGCCTTCACTCATCCCTGAAAGACATTTTAAACAGGGAACAGATAGTTAACTTTGTTTTCTGGTAAACATGGTAGTAAAATAAACATATGTTACTGCATTTATAATCTGAACATTTTCCAGTATTATATCATTACTATGTTTTTAAGAACCAGCTCGTTTCTGGATTCCTATTTCAATATTCCTTTTGACTCACAATTTTTTTCTAATAACAGTTGCTGCTCACTATTTCATGATATCAAAGTTGATAACATAATTGTTGCATTTGAATTTAATGTCAATTTAAATAGTTTTGTAGTTCAAACAAATAGAAAAGTATAGCTAATGTGATTTTGTTTTGGGGTTTCTATAAAGAAGGACAAATTGTTGCTGATTTCCATTTATAATTTTTTAGTTTTTTGGCCTATTATTATCCAAAGCTACCACTGCAGAGCACCCTTTGATTTCCTTATAGCTATAGTTGCTATGTTGGATAGAATATATCAAATAGTATCCAGAGAACAATTAAATGTGACCATCCTTAGCTTTGTACTGTTTTTTATTATGCACATTTCAAAATAATTATCACAGAATTACTTGTCAGATTTATTTCTGAGTAAACATAACAGATGAATCTAAACTTCATAATCATTTAAACCTGAAGCTCCTGTAAATCTCAATTTTGTGTGAATTATATGCATATTCCTATTTCATTCATATTCATAATTACAGGAGATAACTAAGCTTCAATATACACAAAGGGAAAATATGCAGTGTAAGTTAGGAAAGAACTGTAGGGCTCTGGTGTTAAATATCGATATTAAACAATCATCTGCATAATTGGGTAAAAGCTAGGAAGCTCTGGCACTCTCTCCCTGTAAGTTGTACCCATCCTGCTACTACATCTGATGGTATACCTCACAATCATCAGGATAGAGATTAGAGATTCTTTATTAATATACAGCATGGATTATCTTGAACTATCACAGTATATCTGACTGTTTACTTTAGATATAAATCAATGCACAAGATTCAAGTTATTTTAGAACTTAAAGAACTACCTTGTGAAAATAATAATAATAATAATAATAGTAATAGTAATAATAGTAATAGTAATAGTAATAATAGCATACCTTGCTGGATTGCAGTATCACCTTTTCCAGATTTAGAATTGCTAATTTGAACATTCAAAACTGGATCACCTTATTTAAAAACAAAGGAGATAATTTAATTATCAAATATCTTCAGTCTGTTGTTTTCTGCAGATGAATAGGCGGCACAAAGCCTAAACCCAACAAATCAGAGATTTTATATTTTATGCCAAAAAAAATCCAGCCATCAATTTTTGGAACACAATTTTATTTTATTAAAATAGATTTTGTTGCTTAATAGTAAATCAGAAGTCATATTTATAAGAAATGCAATATGTTGCAAAATACTGCAGATATGATTTCCTTCATTGACATATATAATTTGTCCAGAACTAGTGAATTTTATTCTGTTATTTAAATGACAAACAGTATTAGCTTTTTTAGCAACAGTCAGCAATTGCTACTTGCCACTTGTTTGAAATGATGGCCATAGAAATTAAATCTATAAATCAGTCAAAATATGAATTAATATATTCCTGATAATATAGTATTAGCATTTTTTCAGTTATAGAGAAGATAAATTTTATTTATACAGGGATTATATTGTCGTGACATAAATATCACAGCTCGTGATTTATTCTGTATTCTAAAAACTTAAAAGTAATATATAATTCAAAATACTGTATTTTTAATGAGCTGAGCTTATTTATACTTTCTTTTCAAATGTAATAAACAATACTACTACGAAAATATAATTCTTTTCTCTTATTTACTATTCTTGCCTTAATTGATTTATTTGGCATAAACAATACAAATGATCAGCTTGCTAACATGTGTATTTACTATATAATGGCTAGATTGATATCCCCATAATGCTGGGACCATAAATCATAGGTCACAATCCAAAATGGATTAATATATAAGCTTAGGCAATATATAAGGAAAGAAGTGCACATAAATAGGAAAAAAAATGAAACAATCGTTCTCTAAAACCATGTTTAGGAGTTCATCAGGGTATTTCAAAAAGTGTCGAGTATCCATAAAGACAATTTAGTACGTGTTTGTGATATTTAGAGTTTTATAAGGACTAATTTACTTGCATCAACTAAACTCAGTTCCAAAATTAACAAAAGAGAAAGGTACAAGGGAAGACAACACATCAAAACAATAGAAATATATTATCTATATTGTAGATATTTATACTCAATGTTTTAATCAATAATAGGGGTTTTAGAACATATTTAATTCTATGCAAAGAAGACCTTTCTTTACGAAGCATGCTTTATGCTACTTTCTTTTTCTTACTGACCTATTCTTAAAGATGAGAAATAAGAAACTACAAGAAAAATCATGATTTACCTTTATTTTTTCTAGGACCAACTGAAAATGGTATTGCAGATGCTATCTGTTCGGAAGATACTGTTACTGGGATTTCCATGGATGGTAAATTTGATTCTGACCCAGCATCAGTCAGTACCTTGTCACGTTTACGTTGTTGTCGTTTTTCTCTGTTGCTGATTTTTGTTTCCCATGCACCTGAAACAGTCATAAGAAAGCATTAGTTAATCAGTAACATACTTTTCAAAATGTGTATCAGGGATCTTAAGGTATTACTCAGGAACTTATCACGAATTATTAAATGAGGAAATCAGATTATGATCCAACATATGATCAGAAGTGCATCTGCAGCAACTGTCTATTACATTATGATGATTATATTAAATTTGGATGCTAAGAAATCTTTGCAGGCTCACATGGCTTACAACAATATACTAAAATATACAGATATAGCTTCCAGTTCTCACTTTTGAATATCTTTATTGCAAATATAACTCTGGCTGCCCTGAACTCTGTAAAGGAAGTTTTTATAATGATTAAAGAAGACTGCTTATGCTGACAGCTAAATTGACATCCTTCCAAAACATTCCAAAATGTCTGGCCGCTGGTTTCTTCTTAAGATGTGCAATAATACAAGTTTAAATCTGCTTTGTATATATTGGACAAATTTTAATATTCAAAAATGATTCTTAAACTTCCAAAATTCAATGTAAAAATTGAGCTGTTAATATGAAGAATATCAGCCTATTAAAAGGTTAGAAACATTAATCTTTTAAGATTCAAATATGAACTATGAATTCTTTAATTATGGCTTCCATCTAGAATTTGCTTTCTGTGGACACAGAGGTTCCTTTCATCTGCAAAAAGCTCAGGATCTAAAGGAATCCTTTGGTAAATTGGAAGTAATGCTTGTAATCCACTTCCTCCCACTGCAATTTCTTCCCAAAATTTGCCTTGGACACTGGGAGACATCTTGTAGTCATAGGGAAATGTAAAGAATGTGTTTTTTAAGTACCTTCATCGGCTTCCTTTCCATCACCACGTGACTGATCCTGAGCTGTTTTAGCGTCTCCTTTTGTTTTTTTCCTATTTTTCTTTGACTAAAGTAGAAGGAAAATATTTTATCTCAGAATAAATTAATGCTATCAAAATTCTGAAGTTCAGCAACAGGAATGACCCCGGGAAACATGATGAAGTTATATAAACTTTCTATATTTTTTAAATTTTTCAAAAACTATGAAGTGCAGACACAAAACCAACAGTACCTTGACTTACAGAAGATGCACGCATATGACAAAGTATCTTAAAGACACAATTTTAAATACACTTAAGCTGCCTTCATTTCGTTGGGTCTTACTTCTGAAAGGACTTGTAATATGGCACAAAGTTGCATCAAGAAAATCAAGACGCTGCTTGTACCAAGCTGGAAGGGAGCTCAGAAATCACTCCTCTTCCTTATCTGACCCACAGTATTGTTTTCAACTTTACTGAGGGGAGGATGAATAAAGGAAAACTGCATCCTTGCTCCCTATCCTGGTGTGTTCCCCAGGGTTTGGGAGACCCAAGGTCAATGGGTGGGCACTCTTCCTCTTTGGAGGAAGGGAGCCCTTGGGGGTTTTGCCCTTTACACTGCATCCTTTGAGTTTCCTGAATGTTTAAAGGCATAGATGGCAGGTGGAGATGGGCAGGTGAAGGGAGTTGCAATGCCCCTGTGGTTGATCAAAGTGCAGGTGGTCTGCCAAGTGTCCAAATTTTAACACAAGAATGCAGGGTGTTTCAACAACCATAACTCAAGGCACAGGTTGAAATTCTCTTTGTTCAGTGCTATCATAATTTTGGTCACTGAACAAATTGTCCTAAGTTGTGGATTCTGTATGCACTTTTGAAGACAGAAAAGACTGTTTTTCTAGTCTTAAGAGACAAATCATTACATACAAAATCTACTCTTGGAGGGAACTTATTATTTGTAATTAAAGTAAACTGTGACTGATCCAATTCCAGCAAAATATAACAAAAGCCAGTTTAATGATGGTCTTGAATTAAAAGATTAAAAATGATATTTTTTATCAGTCACGAACCAATAACCAACCTTTTCAGTTTTCTTTTCCATATCCAATGTCTGCTTCAGGTTCTCTTTTCGTGTTGTCTGTATTATTTCTTCAGACACATCATGAGCTGGTTGACCATTAAGCTGAATAAATACACACATATATAAATGATAAATTTTATGCAACGGAAATAAATCTGTCTATATTAAATAATTACTGTACAACATAAATATCAGTTCATCAATTTAAATGAAATGTACCAAGGATATAATGACTTTAATTGCTTAGATGCTGGACAATAGGATTATAACTAATATATTATTATGCTATTCACACATTTTTCATACTGCCTCCTTTGATGGCTCCTTTTATTGAATCAACAATAAAATCATGGAAATAAAAATTCATCCTCGTTAAACTAGCACAATCTAATTAAAAATAGTTATCCAGTCATCATCAATTCAATCTAATGTGTGTTTAAAAAGTTTTCTTCAGGATTTTCCAGAATGCCAGGAGTTCAAGATAACCTTATCTTTGGGAGAAGCAAGTTTTACAATGTTAGGGCAACCACGGGAAAGATCTATGATCTAACTGACACCCCTTTCTCCGTTCCCTTATACACTTAACATCTAAAAATGAAGTAACTTAAACTCTAACTTCTCCAGAGAAAACTAAAATAGATGCAAAAAGTATCACTTCATTACCAATTAATCAAAGTTAAAACCGTTAATTTAAAGCCTGCTTCAAGTTAAGTATAGACCACGGCCATAAAAGTACCATTTGGGATTATATTTGCTATTTGATTTTACAAGAATGATGCTACCTACAATAGAAGCAAAGCCCTGTAACAAAGTGTTGCAGTTTAAAGTTTTCCTTATTCAGGAATAGACAGAATTTTCATTGCTTTTTTCAAAAATTCCATTAGAAAATTACAGTACTAGTTTTACATAGTTTACATTATTTGCTTGCCCACTTACACATCCTTTCAGGGCTGTAAAACGTAATGTGTTTTAATAGAATCCCACCCAGTCTTTGATTCAAATTATTGGGCTGTTGTACTTTAAACTGATTTTTTTTTTAAAATTGAACATTCATTCATTTCACTCTTTTAAGCTTTTTGGGCACACTTGTAAGTAGTGTTTCAATGACATTTCTAAAATATATATACATTTATCAGAGTTGATTTGTACTACATATATTCAATGTTACTTGGTAGAAAAACAAATTTATGAAAAATCTATGTATGATTTTCTATTTCACATGGATTATGTGGGCTGTCCTGAAGATACCTAGCATAATCTGGAATCTTCCAATTTCCTGCCCCAAAAGAAAATCAAGGCATAGGATTCCAATAGATTGAGGATAAATAAGAAGAAAACATTTGCTTCTCCTGGCTTAGAAAATAATTGGCATGACTATTAGCTATGCTGGTAATACATGCAAATGAAAAAGACTACAGTGCAAGTGCAGTGGCTAAGATTGTTTTTATGCACATTTTGAAGACAGCCAGAAATGTATTCAAATAATCTAAATATAGCAATTCAGTTTTCCTGGAGATATATCATATGTTGGAAATCTCATCAAGAACCGAAAGTATGAAATGACAGATAAGTTGAATGCTCACTTGAATCTAAAAAAAAATTACCAAGAGTAGCACACTACCTCTTTCAGTTACATTACAGACCATGCCTTCTCAGATATAATTTATTTTAACCAGACATTAGTTGTGCTATGGAACAGTATAAAACCTAACACAAGATCCAACTAATTCCTTATATTATGCAACCATTGCCACTGAAAAAAATGATTAAGATACATTGCTTTAAAGCCAAATTTTCAGTAACAATTCTTGTTTGTTGATCTCTTGGGTACCAGATTAAATACAATTATGCTCCAACTATGGTTTTCAAAATGTACACAGATGTGATCAAAACTTTAAAAAGGTCCAAACACTACAACTTAATGTTATTGGGCAGAAAACTCATAGATAAAAAAGTAATACTTTTGACAGAATAATTTCTATCACAAATCTTCCTCCTTCCTTCTCCATGTATGAATATAAATATCTTCTCTGACTCTATTGCTCAATACACACTCTCAGAAAGAATATTGCTTCATATACCTCAAGGAGGAACATCTCCACATGGAGGCAAGCTCTCTGCTGGTGAAGACCAGGCACACCACTTTGTTTTCACACTAAGTCTGTACAGCGCTCTGGATTTAATTAAATAAAGATACATTTAGGTACTTACATTAGACCTCTCAGCAACTCCTTTAAAGCAGCCATGATCTTTCCTGGAATAAAGTCCTCTGTAGCTGTTATATATCCCCAGGACAAGATATCTTTAAGGAGTAGCCAGTAGGTGCTATAAGTACTCTAGTCTAAAGCATCTCCTTCCTTCAAACTCAGAGCATTGCACAGTGCTAATATCACTGCTAGTTAAATATGATTAGTTTTGTCTTGCAGAGTTATAACCTGAATGAACAGAGCAGAACAGTACTGTAATTGCACAAAAAATATTCCACTATAAGCATAAAGGGAGAAAGAACATACAGTACAGCCACTGCAGTTTCCTATGCCATTAAATAGGATGGGGAAAAGTACTCAGTAATTATCACTCTTCTGTCATTGCCTCATATCTTTTATATCCAAATTTCTATGACAGTCTCTCACATTTTTGGGACCCATTCTGCACTTTTTTCTCTGTAGGGAACAAGGAAAGCCTATTCCCATGATTACTACCCTGCATCAGGATGCAGTTTCTTCATGGAGATGGTTATCTCCTTGGCCTAAAGGATCCACTTTTCCGCCTCTGCACATAACAAACAGATATGTAATAGAGAAGGAATACTGCTTGTACGACTGGAGCAATGCATGCTGGCATCTATTGAATCAGTGACTAAGACTCAGAAGAATTGCTAATTAAATAACACCCCTCCTTTTATCCTAGTAATTTGGATCTATAAAATCAACAATAGCAACTTGAATTATGCCCAGTTTCTGAAGGGCATAAAAGGAGTTTATCAGAATATATGAAACTGCCAACTGGCAAGTTTTTGAAAGAAGTGATTTGCTACACAATTAATGTGAACAAACTACAGTACTTTTAAAATCATTTTTGCAAAAGGCACATCTGCTTTAGCAAGGGAAGTGATTCATTTGCACAAATGGATATTGTAAACATCTCTTTCAAATGCTTTACAATGCCCTACCAAAAAGTAGGTTTCCAGAAGAAAAAGCAATTGTAAAAGGTTGGCAGATTTCCCTGCAATATTAAAATGCAAAAGGTGGATTCAGAGAGACATTAACTGGGATTTCTCTTTCACAGCATGATGAACTCCAGAGCAAACAATCTAATTCTTTTTAAGAATAATTCCATTCATTGGCTTAAAGCAAGTATTAACAAGCTAATGCTCCTCAGATAAGTTTGGATTTCAATGAACAATTACTACCTGTATTATCAATCTCAAATAATTATGAAAGTAATTGCTGAAAATATCTGAAGACACTCAAGTTGCCAAGCACTGATTCAGAAATTACTTCACTATATTTGACTATTAAAATAGTAAAATATATTTATACAAATATAACCAAGAGCATACAATTCCAAAAACAATGTCTTTTAATGGATTTTCTAATTCCATATTAATGCTTCCAATATCATGCCCACAAGATAATTTCAAATTCATACTGCAGTGTTTTAACACACTGAAATTAATAAACAAGCAAGAGATGTACCAGAATCTATAGTATTTATAAACTTTTGATACTAACTTTGGAAATCTAAATTTACTGTGCTTTATACATATAATTTTAAGCCTATAAATAACTTTTAAAATATGTCAGTGCACGTGATAATGTGGTCATGTATAATTTGTTTTTACACATAATTCTGAACAAAATTTAAACGTCTTAAGCACTATTTCATAGCAAACAAGACAAAAATGGTTTAAATATGTGTGACCAGCATATTTCTATTATAGCTATTACAAATATTTATTCATTAAATATTTCTCCTGATCACTTATGCTGAAAAAAGTTTAACTGAATCAAACCCACTATATCTAAAATTAGTATTAGTTGATTAAGAAACATTTATCGACATGTGAGCAAATGTTAAAAGTTTGACCTTGTAGTCCAGCCAAGGGTTATTGCTTCACAGATTTTCTGTGCAGCAAGTTACGAAACTCACACATTGATCCTCAAATTTTGTGACACATGCATAAGTATTCTGACAGATGCACACCATTTATTTACTGCCTTATTAAATACTTGAGCAAATACTTAATTACTCTGACATTCCTTATAAAGAAAAACCAACTATAGAAAACCAGTATTTTTGTAGTCAGCAACCCCTCACGAGAGCAATCACATGAGCACCACAAGGTCAAAAGGCTCTTAGAAGATTGCAGATTATCACAGTGATATGGAAAAAAAAACCCATCTAACTACGCATTACATTGTTCTGGAGAACCCATTTTCTGACATTAATTTCAGAATATGCGGATGGTGGGGGAGGCATGACAGGGTACACGTGAAGGCATGTACAGACAACTTTTCAAAGCCAAGAGGCTAGAAAAGCCCCAAATCTCAGCCAGGTAAAGTGCATTGAACTCAGGCCCCTTGTAACACCCAGATTTCCTTCACAGCCGCTTTTGACACCTGTCGCCCTGGCACCCACCCGGCCGGTTTTCTCCGCTGCCTTCTTTTTATTGCGCTTCTTCTGCTCTTCCCCCTTCAGCAGCAGCATGGTGGCAGTCCCAGGAGCCCCCTTGTTCGAGACGCCGCCGCCGCGGCCGCCGCCTCCCGTCAAGCCCGGGGTCGCCGCCGTCTCGTCTTCTTCCTCCTCCTCTTCCTCCTCCTCGTCGTCGTCGTCCTCTTCCCCCACCTCGGCCGCCCTCCTGGAAGGCTTTCTGCGCGCATCCCCTCCACGGGCGCAGGCCGCGGCCCTCAGGAGCCCCAGCAGCAGCAGCAGCGCCAGAACTGACGTGGAGAGCAGGATGAGCCAGGTGGGCAGATGCTGCGGCTCCAGACCGGCAGGCAGCGGCAGGCCCAGCTCGGAACGCAGCAAACCCACCCCGGACGACAACACGTCCCGCAGCCGGGCCGACACCTCCTCGGCCTGCTGGGCCACGGTCTCCAACCAGTTCGGTGCAGCCATGGCTCCAGCGGACACCGAGCAGGCGCTCACGTCACTGCCAACACATCGCCTCGGTACCAATTTGGGAGGCCCTCGGCGGTTCCGCCACCCTTCCGCTCCGTCGACAGGCAGGAAAAAAAAGGACCGGCGATTGGGCGCCTCGCTTCGGCGGGGAGAAGCGCCGCCTCGGCCTCCCGCGACCTAAGAGAGCAACGTCACCCTCCGCCGCCGAATGTCGGCGGCCGCAGCGTCCTAGCGCGCACGCGCGCCTGGAAATGCCCCCGCACCGGGAGGTGGGGCGAAGACGGTCACGTGGGGCTTAGGGAGACGGCGGTTGGGGAGCGCGGAGAGCGCGCGAACGCGTCGGCTGTCTCCTCTGTCCTCATTGGTGGCGGCTCCCCCCCCCCCGCCCCCCTTTTCTTTTATGGTCGGAGCCGAAGAGATGCTCCTAGGGAGCCTGACAGGGCGCGTCATACCTTGCCTGGGATTGGACGGCGGTGAAGTTGTAAAGGAATCTCGACGTGGCAGTGATTTCCTCACGGAGGCAAACGGGAGGAGGAGCTATTGCCCTAGATCTGACCAATCAGAGCCTTCGAAGGAATAAGATTGATAGGAGAAATGAATCTTTTTTTTCTAAAAAAGAAAAAAGATTTATTTTTTAATATATTAGTAACAGAAGGATATAATAATTGCATTTGATGTCCCTGCTGATATTTAATATATTCAATGTTTTCTCATCATAGTTACATTGGATCTTTAATCATACAAGATAACAATAATTACTTTTAAATGAAAGTAAAGGCACCCAAGCCAGCCTCCAATGCATATTTTTCCTTACTAGCAGAAAAAGGAAAACATGGCGCGAGGATAAAATTGCAGTCTCACTATACACATAGTCCTTAACCAGTGGTGGGATTCAATTTTTTTTTACTACCGGTTCTGTGGGCGTGGCTTGGTGGGCATGGCGGGGAAAGGGTACTGTAAAATCTCCAGTCAGAGATTATTTGCCGGTTCTCTGAACTACTCAAAATTTCCAGTACCGGTTCTCCAGAGCTGGTCAGAACCTGCTGAATAACACCTCTGTTCTCGACTTACGATCACAACAAAAACAAAAACAGTTGGTGCATAAGCGCACCAACATGCCTACAGTTCCTGTCCTATTGCTTCTTTTATATATTTTTTATTTTTCTTATATGTATCCATGCATTCATAACTATGCTTTTACTTACACCTATTATCTTGTAAGCAATGGACAAATAAAATAAATAAATAAATAAATTCAGCCCACAATTTCTGTTAAATGAGATATTTGTTAAGTGAATTTTGCCTCATTTTATGACCTTTCTTGCCATGGTTGTTAAGAGAGTCACTGCAGTTGCTAAATTAGTAACCTGGTTATTAAGTGAACCCGGCTTCAATAGTGACTTTGCTTATCACAAATGGTGATCACATGACCTTGGGATACAGCAATGGTCATAAATATGAACCAGTTGCCAAGCATCTGAATTTTGATCCCATCATGGGGCTGCTGCAAAGGTCATAACTTTGAAAAACAGTCATAAATCAAATTTTTCAGTGCCATTGTAACTTTGAACAGTCTCTACATTAACTGTTGTAATTCGAGTACTGTTTGTACAATGGATGATTTGAAAACACATATGCAGACACATGTCTATGAAAATTCTCAGTCATCCAGTTCATGGTTGTTCCAAAGGTGCTTTTTCAAGAGACAACTGAACTTTTTGGTTCTTCTTTGCTTCTCATCCAAGAAGCTTTTTCAGCTCTGAACGGTCAAAGAAAAACCAGAAAGTCCAGTTGCCTCTCGAAAAAGCATCTTTGGGATATGCAGACACACTTTCAGATGGTGACTAGATGGCCACAAAGAGCTCTGCAATGATTTACTTATTTCCCTCCATCTAGCGGCCAGAGTTTGTAGCTCAGATATGGTAATCCTTTATAATCCTATATCCTTAAACTCCTAATTAAATGAATCATTTTTAACGTTTCTCTGTTTTAATATATTCACAGGGTAGCTGAGCTTGACAGGCAACTTACAGTTTCAAGAGGGGACTCTAAGAAAGTTTTGAGCCCACTAATCCTAAATGCAGTTTTCTTGGAAAGGTTTTTTTAGAAGTGGTTTGCCATTGCCTGCTTCCTAGAGCTGAAGGAGAATAATTGGCCCAAGATCATTCAGATGGCTTAGTGCCTAAGGGGCAGAGGTGGTATTCATCAGGTTTTGACCAGTTCTGGAGATCCTGTAGTGGAAATTATGAGTAGTTCAGAGAACTGGTAAATACTATCTTTGTCTGGCCCTGCCCCCATCTATTCTCTTCCTCACGAGTCCCAGCTGTTCAGCTGGAAGACCCTTGTACAGGAGAACGAAGCTGGAAAGCAGGTGAGTAGGGTGGAGAGGGAAAGGGATTTTGCAGTATTCTTCCCCTGGAGTGGGGTGGGAATGGAGATTTTACAGTAGTATCCTTCCCCTGTCACGCTCCCAAGCCACGCCCCCAAGCCACACCACACTCCCAAGCCACTCCCACAGAACCAGTAGTAAAAAAATTTGAATCCCACCACTGCTAAGGTGGGACTAGAACTGAAATTCTCCCAGTTTCTACTTTAACCGCTATACCAAATTGGCTCTCAGTTTCAAAGTTTGGCAGCCAGAAATTGCCTAAAATGATAGTAGAGACAGGAGGTAACAGATGAGGCTGACCAGGGACTATAGGGAAGGGAATGTGCTTGCATTAGCCTGAACTGTCAGTAAACACCCAGCTGATTGCATTTGCCACCGGTCACCTAACATCACCACTTTTTGAATAAATGGATATGGAAGTGCATCAGATTTTATATGGTATATTTTGCCGCTGTTACTGGATGGTGTTGGCTGAGATGTGTGTGTGTCTTGCCTACACTACTTTAATACAGATGCATCTAGAATAATTTAAGGCTGCCCAGCTGCTTTTGGGTTAAGAAAATACTGAGGCCAATATTATGGGGGCATTGCAATATTGTGTTACTAGATTGTACTGTGGTAGGTGAAAGTGGGACAGGTCAGAAAATTAAAACATTATTGGGAGCAGTATCAGAGGTGGTATTCAGCAGGTTCTGACCAGTTCTGGAGAACTGGTAGAGGAAATTTTGAGTAGTTCGGAGAACCGGCAAATACCACCTCTGACTGGAGATTTTAAAGTATCCTTCCCTTGCCACGCCCACCAAGCCACGCCCACAGAACTGGTAGTAAGAAGATTTGTATCCCACCACTGAGCAGTACATATGAATTCAATTTAGGTGTGTAGCAATGCAGCCGGGCCCTTGTGAAAACAATTGATGCCAGAATTTTGAGAAATAGTAGCTGTAGTTAATTTTTTATAGATTGGACCAAATATGGATTACTATATTTAGTTGTTGGTGCTGTTTTTAGGAATGAGATTAATATATGGCAGCATACTGTATTCTAAAATAGCATGACAAAGATGATGAAGGCTCTTGAAACTACATAGGGTGAGACAGTGGGTTAAAGAAGGAATGATTAATAAAATACGATAGTGATCCAATTATCTGAAGGCTTGTGATTGAATGGTGGAAGATGCTTGCTATATGTTGCTCTAGAAGCAAGACTGATTGATGATTACGTGTTACCAAGTTTTTTTTTTGACTCCTAGCAACCACATAGATGTCCAATCCCTAACCTGGCCTTTCAATCATCATGGAGCATCATCATCACTGAAACTGTGTCCAGCCACTTTGCCGCTGTTGTCTTCCTTCCCTTCCCTTCTACCATTCCCAGCATTAGAGTCTACTCCAGAAAGCTGGATCTTTGCCTATGATGTCCAAAGTAGGATGATTTGAGCCTGTTAACTTGCGCCTCTAGTGACAACTCTGAGTTGATTTGGTCTATGATCCGTACATTTGTTTTCTTGGCTGTCCATGGTATACTCAGGGATCTTCTTCAATTGGAAGCAAAACTAGAACTAAATGTTGAAATACCAAAGCAGCTTTCCACTAAATATTAGGGGAAGAGTTGCCAAAATAGACATATAGCATCTTTTTTCCCTTTTAGAAGTACATAAACAGAAAGTGAATAGTTATCCTTTAGAGATAAGGTAGTTCTGTCCTGCATTAAAAAAGAGACACATCCGTGTCTTTTATGGTGAACCCCAGTTCTATGATACAGTGAAGTCAGACCGGTTGATTTCTTTTTATATGCTAATAGGATATTCTTGTGAATATAATCTCTTTGTCATGGAGACAGGCTTAGAAATTTGAATTGACTTTAAAGCCCTTTTCTAGGCAGGCAAAAAGTGCATCACAAGATTTCTTGATCTATGAAATATATTCATGGGCAGATTTTTTCCCCCCTCTCCATAAATTATTACTGCATTGTTCTTTTTGACTTAACAGATCTCTTTCAAAGAATTGCCACCCGTGTTTTTAACTGTTTTTTATATATACAGATTTCACTTAAATGCTGTTTCCTGAGCCTGGCTTATTGATTTGGGAATAAGTAACTATTCATGAGATTAGAATGTACATACCAGCCAGAATATGAACTTGTTGCTGTCTGGGAACTAATTAATAACAGACAAGCATATCTAGATATTTTTAGAGTGTCCTTTTAAACTTCCAACTTATTACATACACTGTATATTTCTTGAGAAAATGCATTATCTATTCTGAAAAAGTTTGTTTGTTTACTTAAATTTATTGGCCACCCAACTACAGGAGACTCTCAGAGAATGTCTCAGAGAACAGAAGACATGACATATCCTTTCTCATCCTGCATTCTCTCTAAAAAAAATCTCTTTCTTCTAATGGAGCTGGTTTTACTTTTGATCTTAAAAGATGCTTCTATTTTTTGTATTCCCACCAAGAATCCTTTGTATATCATTATCATTTCAGTATTGAAAAACTAATTTAGCATAATTTTAATTACCCATTTTGTCCAAAAGATGAGTACAGTACTTGATTCCCAGAGGTTGCATACCATAACACTGTTTTAGAATTATAACTCTCTCTTTTTCTCTCTCTTTCTCCCGCTCCCTCTCTCCCACCCTCCTTCCCCCCTGCCTCTCTCTTCTTCTGTGCTGTATGGCACTTTCAGTATCATCTTGGAGTGAAATTACAAATGCTTGAGTATTTTTATGTGTTATCTTCTGCATATCTATTGTAACTAATGCTTATAAATAATATGATTTTCTTGGTGTGATGACCTGTGGCATGGCACAAAGGCAACATAGTCAAATAA